GATATTTTAAAAAATAAAAAATATTATCAAACTAATCATTATTATTAGTAATCATTACTAAATGATTAGTATAAAATCTAAATCATTAAATATTTATAATAAATAATTATTAGTAATCATTATTAAATCATATTATTATTAAATCATTAAATATCAAATCATTAGATTAATAATAATTATTAAATCATTATTAGTAATATTAGTAATCAATCAAGTTAAATAATAAATTTTATTTTATCATTAATATAATATAATAGTATATTATATTATATTTATTTATTTAATGATTTATGAAATTATCTTATCTAATTTTTTTAATCTAAATTTATATATTTTTTATTTGTAGAGAAAATGAGCAACAACTTTTTCACGATTGTCCATTATAATGGACAAATTATGGCAGAGTTGTTTTTCAATCTGAAAAATCAATAAATATGATGTTCAAAAAAGACATCACATTTATAGAAATGAAACAGAAGATAGAAAGAAAATTTTGAGCTGCAGTTGATGGTTTGAGGTACAGGTTTATGATATGCCTCAACCCAGTCAGATATGATGCAGTTCCACTTGAAGAAGATGATGATATTGGAACCATGATTGGTTTACACGAGTCAACCAATATAACAGTCATTGAGTTATTTGTTGATGTGCGTAACATATGTGATGTTCCTGGGTTATAAAGAGGTGTGACTCAAAATCCATCTGAAATGCCACATTTATCTCCGTACCAAATGGTTGAATCATTCGATAATTCTGGTGAATTTTCAATTAGGGTGCAATTCAGAGGAAAAAATGAAGCTACGCTGGCGATTAAAGAGTACTGCATCAAATGCCATGTTGATGTCCATGTTGTAGAGTCCAACTAGAAAACCCCATACGCGAAGTGTGTAAAATATAGCCCAGAGTGCAAGTGGAAGATCAGAGTATCGAAAATTCAAAGGCACGATGCTTGGGTCATCACAAGGTATAATGGTCCTTACACATGTTTGCGAAACTCCATTGAACAAGACCACCGACTATTGGACTCCGATGTAATATGTGAATACATGAAGGTGATAGTTGAAAAGGATCCAAGGATATCTTGTTCAGTGTTAGCTGCATCTATTCGAAGCCAATTTGGATATCAAGTAAAATATGGCAAGGTGTGGAATGCGAAGATGAAGGCAATGAAGCTGACGTATGGAGATTGGGATACATCGTACAATGAGCTACCACATTTGCTACAAGCAATGAAGCGATTTATCCCAGGAACCATAGTGAAGTCTCAAACCATGCCCGCATATGACGAAAAAGGTCAACTTGTGCCAGGAATAAAATATTCCATAGACTATTTTGGGCATTCAAGTCATGTATTGAAGGATTTCCATTTTGCAAACGTATGAACTTAATGTCGATCTTCAGCCTGAACTCTTTAATATTGTTGTGCACCAACCCCGTGCCTTCAATTTTATGTCTCTATATGTATATCAATCAAAACAAAAATATGGTTATTTTGTTCAATATTTTTAATCAAAATAAATAATTTATAATTAATAATTTATATTAAAATAGAGAATTCATATTACCTTCCGGTAAGTAGAAAGTCAACTGCAGTTCGACTAATCGGTGTCAAAATGGAAGTCTATGCCAAGCCCATGATTGTAGCAGCATCAGACATCCACCGATTTTTGCTGTATTATTATCATTCACGATTAATGACGCCTTGCATATCTCACGATACAAGAACACCAATATCGCTGATCTTCAACTATATTGGCTACTATTCACAAATTTCTTTAAAAAAGAAGATACTGAGTGTGAACATAATTACCGGATTTATCCGACATCAAAATTCCTCCAATCAACTACAATATATATGCTCGTGTTGCATATATAATTTCTTGCTCCATACTATTTGGTTGGAGCTGAAATTGACTCTTCAACCATGACAACTTCACACGTCATCCTTTACACTCTGGTGATACCGATGTTTTCCCAAGAAACACACTGCAAAGTTGTGCCACATTATTTTACTCATTTGTCATTACCACCTACATCCCATTTGTTTGGACCCCGAGTTGCATTACCACGTCCTCCAAAGTTATCGTACATTCTCCACACGACAAATGAAACATGTGCGTTTCTGGTCTCCAACGTTCAATCAACACATTGATCAAACCTGGGACCAACTTGTATTCTCGCACAAATGTTACATACCAAAATCTAGCCTGTTGCAAGCTTTCTTCTATCAATCGATGTGGCTTGGGCAGATTATGTATTCGATGACGAAGGACTCGCTGCTCATCCTCCTGCAATTAAATAATTCAAAAAATTTATCACAATCATAAATTAATATTCAAATATTTAAAATAATTCATTAAACAAATATTTTATTTTACTAAATAAGAATAACACTATTATTCCCAAATGAGTTGAAATATGTTCATTGTCAAGACTCAGTAGTGGAATTTGGTCAGCCATTCGAATGAATATGTAAAAAAAATAAACAACAATATTTATAAAATCATTTAATATAATCTAATATAAATCAACTAAAAAAAATTAAAATAATAACTTATAATATAATAAACTAACAAACTAAACTTTTTAAAATATAACTTAAATGTGCCCTTAATTAACTAATAAACTATTCTTTTATATAACTTAAACTAATAAATTATTTTTTAATTATAATATAACTTAAACTACTAATAAACTAATTAACTAAATTATTTATATAATATAAATTCAACAAACAAATATAACTTAAATATTTAACTAACTACAAACTAATTAAATATTTTTTATATATAACTAACGACTAACAAACAAACTAATTAATTATTTTTTTAATATATAACTATCAAACAAACTAATTAAATAATTTTTTATTTATGTATGATATAACTTAAACTAACAATAATATAACTTAAACTAACAAACTAATTAACTAAATTTGTGTTTTACCCTAAACCCTAAACTAACAAACTAATAATTTAAAATAATAAACTAATTTAAATAAAATAAAAAATTATCTCACGATGTTTGCCTCCCTTTCTTCTTCTTCTTTTCCTTTATCTCGACACTCTTCTCTCTTTCTTTCTTTTATGCTTCGTTAACCCCAGATTTCACCCTATATATTTAAGCCTCGGCTGCTTCAATTCATGCAACAATAATTGAAGAAATCACGGGCCTCCAATACAACAATAATTGCTGCATGAAGCAGCGAAAATGATGATGCATAAAGCAGCGAAATGATGCTGCATGAAGCAGCGAAATGATGCTGCAATAATGCAGCTATTAAAGCTACATGGGAGCAGTGGGGAGCAGGCAAGCATGAGGGGAGCAGGCGGCAGGAATCTCGCCAGTTTGGTCGTCGGGATCACATGGCGACCTTATAGGTCGCCCGACATACATGGCGACCTTCATTTCAGCAGGACGCTGGGCGTGCATGACGACCTGCACGCATGCAAAGTGTAGCAGCTCACCACAGCTCGCGGGGACAGCATGGCGACCTCATTGGTCGCCCGGAGCGCCTGGTGACCTACGTTCGAACTGTAGATTTCACCCTATCTCAGCAATTAATTGTTGGAATGCATTATCTCGAGAGTTTTGCCCAATTTTATGAATATAATATTTAAATAGTTTTATTATTCAAATATTATTTAAATACTATTAGTTTTAAAAGTGGTAATTTTTTGGGTACGAATGCACGTATCAATGCATTGTTTCTTGATTTACTCTTTAAAAAGATAATTATTTAAATATAATTGATGGATCCAGAAATATAAAAATTAGAGTACACAATTTTAAATTTTTAAAAAGTAAAGAGTATGCAAATTTTTTCCTCAACGTATTAAACTAAATTTAATAATTTTTTAAATAATGTGATACAGTTGACCCCTAGGGGGCTTAGTACATCCACCCGTGCCTATATGTGCCTCCCATTTAAAATTTTTTCTAAGAGCAAGAGCATATGATCGGTTGATTAAGTTGCCCATCTTTGTTCCTTTATACCTCCTTAGGTCATTGGTTCTAGATTCACTATGAACACTTTCCTTCTTTTCCTATATTCTCATTTTTCCTTCCCTCTAAGTACGATTAAGATTAAATTTACAATTTGTCAAACAAATATTTAGGGAGTTTTTTATATTATTTAATCGATTTGAATGAATCCATTTATTTTATAATTTTAATTTATCAAAATATTTTATAAGTTTTATTTTTGAATAAATAATATTTAATTTTTAAATAAAATCTACACTTTATTTTATAAATATTTAAAATGACTATGTTATATAAAATAAAATTATGATTTTTCACATTAAAAATATTGAGATCAATATTCGCAAAGAAACGAAAAAATAATTTCTCTTACTTAGTATGATCGTCATCTATTGCTCATTGAATTTCTTCGTATTAAACAATCTTCAATATGATAATCATCATCGTCATTATTATCGTTATCGATAATTTATCTGACATTAATGTATACTAATGGGGCAGATTGATTCATTATACGTCGGAGTCGTACGATAATATAGGATGACTTTTGAAGAATAATAATTGCAGAGACATTTGATCAATAATCACATCACTGATGAAGTTTATGGGAAACCAATGGATCGATGACGCCGGTGAATACGAGCTTGGTAACTAAAATGGGTTATGCAGGATCTGTGTCTATGTGATAAAATAAGATCAGCTGAACACATTTTGCTCTATGTGATAATATAAGATCAGCTGAAGAACCAATCAAGAAGTAGTGTTGAGACATGTAGCAAGGACAAAGGCACTGGCAACATGGAGCGCATTCGATAAAATAAGATCAGCTGAACACATTTTGGTCTATGTGATAAAAAATATTTTTTAAAATTAAAATTGTTTAAGTGCTATTTAGATAAAAACGATTTGATTACTATTATCATAAAATTATTCAGAATAAGTGCGAAATTAAATAAATTTAAAAGGTAAATTGAAATAAAATCTAAAAATATAAATAAATAAAAACACTTAAAAATCGCAAACGATCAACTTTTACGCCGTTTAGTGCTTCGCTCTTTCAGGCTTTAACGTGAATCGAAAACCCTCCAACTCCTACTAGACCATGGCCGCCCAACCCAAGCGAAGCAGCGAGAGGCGATCCGACTCCGGCATCCTCTCCAAGTTCACTTCCTACGCCATCGTTTCCCGAGGTAAGCTGGCCGCGAACGACGTCGCTTTCGTCTCGAAGAAACTCCTTTGCAGCACCGGCAAAGCCGCCTGGATCGCTGGGACAACCTTCTTGATCTTATTTGTCCCTTTGATCATCGAAATGGACCGCGAGCAGCAGTTCAATGAGCTCGAGCTCCAGCAAGCTAGTCTCCTCGGTGCCCCGCCCACTGGACCCGCCCATAAGTAAATTGGTCGAGTTGTATCAGGTCAGAGCATTGGTGTTTATCAATTTTGTGCCTGTTTAAGGTTATTATTCCGGAGATTATTACAGTAAAACCCTTCTGATTTGTTTGCTTTTAATTTTAAATAAGATTATACTTTTTTTCGGTGTTTTAAGTTTTAATTACTTGTGGAAATGTTGATATTGGGCTTGTTTTATCAAGTTTATGCGTATAAACTTGAAATTGGAAGTTTGGTTTTGATGTGATAAAGTAACTGAAAACTGGGTGTGTTCATTTGAGGCACTTTTGAACGATATTAGATGATTTGGAATATATATGTTCCATTGCAGATGATGATGATATGAGGAGTGATTGGGAATTTGAGCTAGCTGCAAAGTGCACTAGTTTGTATGTTATATGAAAACTACTCTCTTATCATCAGAGTAGAGTTTGGAAATGTATAAAATGAATAAATCATAGTTCAAATGGCCATTTTTTATGGTTTGCATTTTCGAAAGTTGTACTGAAACGCATTTACTTGATCGCCTTGCCTTGAATCAGTATTTGTGGACTAAGTTGCAGTTTTCGAGTTCCTATTTCTGTCTTGGAATCTTATAGTCCATATATAGTCCATTATGGTGTTTACCATTAACATTGGTCATGAATAGTTGGGAGTTGGGAGGTGGAGTAGGTTAAACATCAGTTCAAGTAAGCACTTGCTTGGTTTGATAGTTCCCTTTATGGTTCTGATTTTCTTCAACAAGACCCAGAATGTTGATCATGACCTCCTGCCGGCTCCTGGAATATGGGAGTTAGGCATCGAACTTAAGGTCTTTGATGCCTTTTTTTTCAAAAAATAAAAATAAAAATTGTTTAAGGGTTAAATTTTCTGAGAATACTCTTACACTAGAACCACTCTGTTCAATCTTTTGCTCTATTCAGCTTCAGATCAGAACAAGATTATATGTTGTCCAGAAGTACCTATAATAATTTTCTGTTCAACAAGCTATAATCCATCCACCAAGGATTACTAGTTTTTCACCACTGATTCATGTCTTTATGTTTCCCACCTTTGGCATGTAATAGACACCATTTGGTGACTTCACTTTTAGCCTTGTGAAAATGCAGTTTTGGGGATGAAATTATAATGCGAGTCATTTGCCTTGGTGGGGATGCAAATACCATAGAAGAAATTACTGGTAGTTTTCTTTTTGGCCAATTCACTGACCCTCCTATAAACATATTGGCCAAAACCCTCCTAGTTTAAGCTCTACTATATTAACCATCATCCTATGTAGGGCAAAACAGAAGCAGGACATTAGGGAAGAAAGTCGTAAGCTCTTGATACTCTGCTACTTTTCTTGCCAGGGCACCTTCCACTTCGTTAGCTTCCTTGTAACTGGAAATGAGATGCACAAAGTGATTTTAGATGACATGCAGCAGTAGGAAGAGCTGATGAACTGCATGATGAGATCGGAATGGATGGTCCAATCTTACAAAATAAAAGGGGTTTTGGTTTGCTACAGTTTATAGTTACAACTATCTTCTTTCTATACATGGTCGTGGCGCAAAAAGCCAAAAAGTGAGGTAATCTGATCTCACAGCGGCTTGCCGACTTATGTTAAACATCCTGTTTGGTGGAGAGCTAAGAGAGGTTGGGCCCTAATGAAAACTATTGAAGATGATTTATTTGCCTTTTAAGATAGGTGGGGGGAGAAAGTATCGGAGATTGTCGAATTTGAAACAAGCTCCACTGTGGTGCACTAGGCAATACTTTATATGATTGATGAAATTGGTGTGACCCTTTGAGACCAGAAAACCAGAAAATAATGGTTTTGGCCCTGATATTTTTCTGAGACTTCGATTTAACGCATTTGTTTGATGAACATTGTTAAGGATGCAACACTAGAGCTAGTTGGACGTATACATGGCAATCAGCTAAAGAGTTTCCTTAGCGACAAAGATAAAGTAAAAAGAAAATTGTTTGTGATACGCAATTGTCAGTGATGTGCCTGCTTTCTTTATTTCTACTACCCACCAAAGAAAAGGCAAAAAAGATGAACAAAATTGGGGTTTAAGTTAGTCGGATCATGTAGTCATAAAAGATATCAGGCAATTTTAGTTTGAATTTTAATGATTATATATAACCTTTTCTTCTATGCTTAAGTTACAATCTTTAATGTATAAAAGTGTTTAAATTGTAAATCCAACTCAGAGCTGGACTGTTTATGTTAGACAGTGAATGTCAAAATTTTTAATAATGTTTATGGACAATAAAATAGACAAATTTAAATTTTATAGATGTTAGTGTTTTACTAAATAATGGTGGGTACCTAATAAGGCTGCTATATATTGCAATGTCTACTTTTTGCAATCATTTCCACGATGGGATTGTAAAGTAGTAATAAAAGTTTGAGCATTTGCTTTAATTTATTATTATTATTTTAAACAGATATTTTTCTTAGACATTGACATGTATATTGACTTTTGAGTAGAACATACGAATTCGTTTCCAACTTGTACTCCTTTGGTGTGTAGGACTTGGAAAGGTACTAAACCCAAATTTCGAAAGGGTAAACTATATGCGTAGTACCTCAACTACCATTTTTTGTTTTGGTCACTTAACTTTTTTTCTTAATTATGTCTAACATTTAATTTTAGTTTTATTTTGGTCATTCGTTAAGAAACTTAATTGTGATACTTATATGTCATCATAAGATAATGTCACGTTATTATTGAAAAATACAGTGTCAATCGTTCTTTTAATTTTTTAAATAAAAATGTAACATTAAATATAATTTTTTAAAAAAGGATAAACTACACATTTAGTACCTAAACTATCAATTTTGTTTTTTAGTACCTAAACTTTCATTTGTTTTAAAATCATACCTAACATTTACTTTTTTCGTTTTGGTACATCGCCGTTAAAAGCTTAGCTGAACTATTTAAAATGGCACTTTTAGGGGTAAATTACATCATTCATCACTCAACTATCTTCTAACTTAGATTTTGGTCACTAACGTTTAATTTTTTTAATTTAATTACTCAACTTTCAAATTACTCCTAATTTAATCACTCTAACTTTCAATTTTAAGGTTTTTATTTGAATTACATATTAATTAAATAATAATAAAAAATTTCAACTCAAAAAAATTATTAATAAAATAAATTACATTGATTAAAACATGAACAATTTGAAAGTTGAGTAGTTAAATTGATTTTTTTTAAGCTTTAGTGACCAAAATAAGAGTGAAAAGATAGTTAAGTGATGAATGATGTAATTTACCCATAAAAATTGTTACCGTAAATTTTTTAACAAAGGGTGTACTAAAATGAAACAAAGAGTAAACATTAAGTATGATTTTGAAGCAAATGAAAGTTTATGTACTAAAATAAAATAGATAGTTTAGGTTCTAACGTGTATTTTACCTTAAAAAATAATTAGGTGACTAAACCGAAACAAAAGTGATAATTGAGGTACTAAATTTATAGTTTACATTTTTTAAAAATAACTCCTGTGACGTTAGCAAATTTTTATAATGGATCAATCTATTGGTTATAAGTTTTTATTATTGGGTGCAAACAAGTAAAATGGTACAAAATTGTATTTTTAAGATTTTTTAAATTTCAGATATAATGTTTACTGAGGTTCAGTGTATTAGTTTTATATTCTTGTTTAGTGGCTTATGAGTGATTTCCCTGTCTTATTTTGTTTATATTAATATTTTTAATAACAAATAGAACAAACTTTGGAATGGTTAGGTAAATATTCTTGTACAGTAACATTTGCCAAAATGTTTGCATATATACAATAATAAAAGCAAAGGGACAAATCTGTGTAATCACACTATTAGCCTCTATAATTGGATGTACCCCAAGTTAAAGGTCAGTGGTATCATCTTTGTAGAAAGCTCCTCTCTTTCTAGAATATTGGAGCCACCCCAAAGGAGCTCAATAGCCTGCACAAAGAACCATGTAAAACATAACATAATCTTGTAAAATCAAAATGAAAAAACCTGCTCAAAACATATTTTTTTTAGGAGTTTTAGAAAGCTGACCTTCATGTTTCTTACTTCGTCTCTTCAACACTGATTTCAGACACATCAAACAAACAACTATGAACCCCAAAGCCGCGACTCCTCCGACCGCGATCGCCACCGTCTTTTGTGTTCGTTGCCTTGTCTCTCCACTCCCTACAAACAACAATGAACCCCAAACCCCAAATCGGTTTCTTCATGGGAAAAAAAGAGCAACAGCAACAATGGAGACTCTATTGGGACCTATAGTCCTATACTAACATAATTGAAAGATATAAATAAAAGAGTGAGCTTTACAAGACTACACCCACACCCCAGAGGGCCCCAATGCTTTTGACTACGTAACACTCATGGAAATCCACCTGTCTTCTTCACACACACACCCGACTTATTTCATTATTTTTCAAGCAAGGTAAAAAGAAAACAAAATTTGGCCATTGATTTCTTCTGCTTTTGTTCTCTGCAGCTTTACCTGACGATATGGTTGGAATTCCATTGGGATAGTAGCTGTAACTAATGTAGCATTTGTGCAGATAAACCTGCGCTGAAAACGAGTCGCCACAATCCTGTTTCGCCGTCTCAAAAGCTGTCTTCACGCAGTCCCCACAGTCATTTGTTGCCAAATCGCCCTCGCACTGACCCAAAACATACACAGATTGATAATCCCCAGTGTAAAACAAGCTGCTACCACTTTTTACCCCATCTTCCGTCATGTTGAAAGCCGTGTCTCTTTTGCTCTCGAACTCGGTTCTCCTACTCGCCTGAGATGACGACCCACAAACCTTGTACAAAAACTGAGTTTCAGGAACCTGTTTGAACCCGGCAACCTCGTACCTCAGATAACACCCGCTCAGCTGAACCCTGGCAGCTACTGCTCCGCCACAAAGTTTATCGCTCAGTTCCGGGATCTTGCTGACACAGCCGTAACACTGGCTCGTCGTTACGTCTCCTCTGCATTGGTAAAGGCCACTGATTTCATTCGCGCCCCCACCAGAAGTAGCAGTGGAGAAAGTTGTATGTGATGATTGCGAAACCAGAGTTTGCATGAGAGTTTTAAGGTTCTGTGAGTAAATCCCGGATGGGTCTTGAAATTTTTGGTCAGCACAGCCCTTGAACACCAAGTTGGTGTAATCTGCAGCTGTTGAAACATGAGAAAAGTACCCCAAAAGGATTGTGATGGAAACCAAACAGATATGGTATTTTCTGGGGAAACCCATTTGAGAGCTGGAAAATTTTAGCCCTTCTTCTCTGTCACAACATGGAAGAGATGATTTTAAAAAGGAGGGTTTCTAAACCTAAGGATGCTGAGATATGGGGTTTAGCTAGAAACTCACAAGAGTGGTATTGCTTGCTAATGGCTATATATGGCTTTAATCCCAACTGTCTTTAAGGCTTACCTTTATTTCTTTGGGAAGTTGGTTTTTTCTTTTTTTCCCTCTGCTTTCTTCAAATCCAAGTGCTTAGCTTTAAAGATGTTGATTAATAATTTTTTGACAGGGACATTTGAAATTGATTTTTTGCTCTGAACTTTCATAAACACAGTATTGTTATTATATACAACATCCCTCAGGTTCTTGTCTTGGATGCCCTGAACCTGCTGTACTGATCAATATTATCACGAGTTAATATTTAATTGGTTTCATGTACAGCTATACTTTGTTTTTCTTCATCCAAGTCAAATGCGTGATTAGCTAACAAAGAAATTGCTAAAATTGAAAAGAAAATTCTTGTAGTCGGACTGGAAACAGCTCCTAAGGGTGTATTTGGTTCACGGAATGTAAGATTACCAGTGGGAATAAAATATTACCAGAAAATAGGATTACTGGGAATGTTGTATTTTGTGTTTGGTTGATTTAGCATGAATATAAAATTACAGTGCTTAGTTAAAGGAATAAAGATTATTGGAATGTATATTTGACCAAATTGTCCTTATTATATATTTGTATAATATTACAAATTGTAAAATATTTATATATTTTTAAAAAAAATTAAATTCATAATATTTATAATTTTTTTACAAAATTAAAAATATAAAAAGGGTTTAAGGAAAGGATAAAATTTTTTAAACCCATGAACTTCATATAAAATTTTAATTATAGACTTTTTTTGTAAATCTAAAATAATTTAAGGATAAATTTATAATTTAACCTTCGTAGAATTTTTATTATTCAATGACATAAGAAGGATATTTTTGAAAAAAAATAAAAATTTAAGGACATTTTAATCCAAAACGTCGGTAGTGTTACAATACCTAAGGGAAGGGAGGTAATGACATTCACGGTAATATACCAAAAAAAATCTACTATTGGTAATAAAACATTACCGGGAATGAGATTCCCGGCCAACCAAACATGTCCTTGAACCAAACACCCCCTAAGAAACTCAACTTTTGCAAGACTTGTTTTTGTTGAAAAAAACACTTAATTGTCTGTTCTTAAATTATACTTCATTTAACTTGGCATCTATTTTTTTTTTTAATTTTAAGCTTAAAATTTATAAATATATATTTGCTTCCAGGAAACAAGTTTTGCATACAAGGAATGAGTTCATTTTTTATACAATTAGCATCTGTTTTCCAAAATTAGTTTGTCTTCTTATTTGCTTTTCGGAATGCAAGTTGGTGACGGAAGAAGGAATGAAAAGTAGCAGAATTCCACATAATTTATCTGATGAATACCATATTTTAACAATCAACATTATATACCAATGTCAAAAGCCGTACACGTGTTTAGACTTGGGAACCAACTTACAAAACATGCTGCACACTTTTACCCACTGAAGACATCGATTCCCTCTCTGGTGGCCTGGAGAGGAAATTATGCTCACACCCTGAGGGCATAACCGGCCGAATGCCGCCAGGATTTAACGGAAAAAGCAACTGGTAATAGCCATCCATGATTTCTGGAAAATTGCAAGTGGCAGCAACCTTCGGAATCTGATAAGAAATAAAACGTTACAATTTTACATACTGCACATTAGGACTCACAAAATTTCAACGTAAACAGAATCCTAATCCATGCTATTTTTAGCGCCTAAACAGAGTAGCTTGAGTTAGGGGAGTATGTAACTAATTCATACAAAAAGTGATACAAGATGCTCTTCACAAGCATTATCAACTAATTCACTCCCCAAATATGGGGAACAAGGTCTCAGGGCGAAGTTAAGCTAATGGAGCACTAGAAATGAAGTGATCCATGTCACCTTATTCTTTCACATCAACTCGTCACTCGGGCTTAGTTCGAGTGGTTACAGACTTAAACTGCAGCCAGTTCGGGTAGACATCTTCGAATTGAGCCTTAATGCTCAGTCTAGCACCCAAATCCCGTTTCCTTCTAATTGTCTCTCCAAAATCTAACCAGCCAAAATGCAAATGGTACATGATTTGTTTAATGTGAACGTTGTTGAATTGGGAATTCGGACATAAACTTATGTTAATTTACAACTATTATCTGAACATTTCATCACAAGTACTCGATATTTACCTGATAAATATCGCACATGTAACCATGAAGATTGGAGTACTCGAGCAGCTTCTTCTTAGTGCATTTGAACAAAACATTGTAGACAAGATCAAATCTAATCAATGTAGTAAACAAGCAAATATCCGCGAGAGTCAATCTGTCTCCACACAAGTATCGGGAACTGCCCAAGTGATCATCAATCCTATCCAATGTGCTAAACAAACCAGTCACTGCAACATCATATGCCTCTTGACTTTGAGCAAATCCACATCTACAATGTAATAAGATCACCCCCATTATACTACTACAAACTAAAGTAGTTTTAAAAAATTCCAAGGCTTTCTTTTTCTTACAATGTAACCATTAAAGTTTTAAACATTAAAGAGTAATTTTCTCAAGCAAAGTCGTCATTTTTTTTACCTGTAAACTCCATTATTAACATTGGGGTAAATCTCCCGATTCCATTCTTCAATCTCCTCTTTCAACTCCACCGGCGAGAGATCCAAACCAGGGTTCAGGGCCAACCTGTTCAGACCCGAATTGAATAACTCAATAATATCATAGCTCTCATTGCAAACTACTTCTTTGTTGTCTACATCCCACAGCATTGGCACCGTGGCTCGCCCATCATACCCGCCTTTTCTCAGCTTATAAACTTCCTTCAAATTCCGGCACCCGTTGACCTTATCCATGGTTGGAACAGGGATATCATTGTCCATACTCTTATCCTTGTCGGGGATATCTTTGAATTCCCAAGAGCCGTCAAAGCCATGAGTTGTGATGGACACGGGGACGGCTTCTTCGAGGCCCTTGAGGGCACGGACGATCAGGGTTCGGTGGGCCCATGGGCAGGGGAGGCTCACGTAGAGATGCAGCTTGGTGATTGCGGAGGTTGGGTTTTGGCATTTGAGGCGGAATTTCGAGGGAGGCCTGGTGTAACCGCCGGAGGGATCGGAGGGAGCCAGTTGGGACATCATGATCTGCCACGTCGAGGTCCATGTTGCACGGACGGAGGAGATTAGGAGGCCAGGAGGGAGGGATGCGCCCCAGAGGAGCTTGGAGATGCTGTTGATTGGATTCAAATTACCATTTCTGTTACCGCTGTTATTATTACTGTTGTTGAAGAACATTCTAGGGCTAACGTGGCATGCCAATTTTGAGGTAGTTTTGGACGTAGAGTGTAACAGGAGGCGAGAGCTGGGCAGTGAAATGCTGTGCATTGCTTTGGTCTTTATCATCTTCTTCAACTGTTTTTTTCATTTCATTTTTAATTATCCTTTTAGAGGAAGAAAGAGAGGATACCCCTAGTTTAAATAAAACGAAGCGTTTTGCGTTAAGAAAAGTGTAAGAAAGCAGTTCAACCCTAGGGCAGCGTATATAATCAAGCAGTCCTCTATCTCCAGAGGGGTCGAGACAAACGGCGGAGCGGAGCGGAGTCGATCCAAAATGTCGAAGCGAGGTATTTTTCTGTCCGTTATTTTCTCGTACTTTCGGATTATCCGAACAAGACTCTTTCTGATCTTAGTCAATTGTTTTTTTTTAATTGTAATAGGAAGGGGAGGCAGTGCGGGGAACAAATTCAGGATGTCGCTGGGTTTACCGGTTGCGGCGACGGTGAACTGAGCGGACAACACGGGAGCCAAGAACTTGTACATCATTTCTGTGAAAGGAATCAAAGGGCGTCTCAACAGGCTTCCATCGGCTTGTGTCGGCGACATGGTCATGGCTACCGTCAAGAAAGGAAAGCCCGATTTGAGGAAGAAGGTTTTGCCAGCTGTCATCGTCAGACAGCGGAAGCCTTGGCGTAGAAAGGATGGCGTCTACATGTACTTCGAAGGTCCTAAGTCCAAACATTTTCTTTTTCTATTCTCCTTTTTAATGGGGTTGCTGACTTTGATTGTTGGTTTCTTAATGAGAAGCATAGATTAAGGGGAATTTTGCCAGTTTTGAACGGCATGATGTTATCTTTCTTTAGCTTTGTGTTGCCTGTCTGCTGGTATATTTGAACTAAGTTATTGCGTGTTACTTCAATTCATTTGACACTGCTTCAAAACTTAATTTTCACTTATTTATCCATCTACAGATAATGCTGGTGTCATTGTCAACCCCAAGGGAGAAATGAAAGGTAAACCATTCATTGTCTTCATTCCATCTGGTATATCCAATTACCTGTTATTAACAATGCTTCTTGTTGAATTGTGGGGGTTAGATGCTAAATTCAGCTGTTTGTGTTGATATGTGTTCCTGTTCAAATGAACTATTTTGGATGGTTTTTCTCTGGTTACTTGCTTTTGCAATGTCAGGTGAAATAAAGTGAATATTCCTGAAAATTAGCTGCTGTTGCACCTCAATTTTGAAAAGGAAAACATGCGTCAGTGACCATTCACTGATGTTTTTAAGATTCTATTTTCTATCTTTCCAAGTTGACATTTATGTTGCATTGTCTCTGTTTTGGTGTTGAATCAGTATACAGAATATTGTTCTTTTTTTTCAGTTTAAGTTTCCTGTATGGTTTTGTTCTTGTTTTTCTTTAATTGTTTCATTGATATGGAGGATCTTCGAAGACTGTATTCTCATTCCATGTTAGGAACTGAAAATCGAATAGCCATAGCAACACGGGCTATCAATGTCTTTACTATTAATCTTCAGTTCAGTGTCGAAAATTATTATTTATTGGATCATTGATTTGGTTTCCCCCCCCTCAGGATCTGCTATCACTGGTCCTATAGGAAAGGAGTGTGCTGATCTGTGGCCTAGAATTGCAAGTGCTTCCAATGCTATTGTCTGAAACATTTCGATGGTTTTGCTTGAGATTGTAGTTTTAATGTTATCTTTCCGTTTCTTATGACAAGAGATATTTTGATTGAACAATAGTAAACCCGAATTCCTTTTTATAGTTCTTTTCATGAATTAAAAATGTTTTAGCATGCTTTGATTCATCATTTTCAGCTTAAGTAGTGTGTCGGATGTAGAAATTTATGTGAGAGGGTGCGAACTTAAGAAGTTAATTTAAAAATTTAGGAGGTGTGAAGTTATAAAATTTTAGGGGTGAGAAATAAGATAATCAATAGAAAATATAAAAGAAAAAACAAAAAATTTAAGGAATTTGAAAATTCTAGTTGCACCCCCATCAGTCCATCCCTGGTGTTGGCAGTTCCCGCACATCCTTTGGGTTTGGAACTTCACATGTTCATATGTTCGAACTTGCACCATTTTTATCACGTCAGAATGATTCTTCTGATATTTGTTCTAATGTTGCCAATTCTGAAACAGAAACAATAATCGCATCTTGATTGCATGTTGTCGAGCAAATGTCCTCTATCAAAATGATGCTAGGCATGATATTCATAACATTGTAGGAGGAAAACGACGTTCCACAAGTGATTTAGGGTTAGTTGTGGCCTGCTTAAGGTCAAGCGGCTCGGAAGAGACAAAGCTGCACTCGAAATAGATACCTTATGGATTGTTAAGATACTCCAACGTGGGGCAACATGCATTTATTGTATTCGAATTTGAGATATGAAGTAATAACAATAATTCTTTTATCATTAAAGTCGTTTGATTTTTTCGTATCGAATCTATTAACTAATGACTGTTTTTATACACTTAATTTATATATAACAATCATAACTTTAGATTTGATACACGAATATAAAGAAAGTCAAAAATAAAGTCAATATATAAACCCATTAACGTACAAGGAAAGAGACTTCGACTATAAACTTTATATCAATGAACGATAATCTCTAAATTATTGACCGATATCATTAGAAAGGTGAACTGTCCATAACCGACATAACTCTCCCTCCTTATTCCTTGTTGGGGTATGCCAATTGCCAAGTCCATTTATGTTGCGACCCTGACCTAAACATAACAACGAACCAAGGCAGAAACTTGAAGACTGTCAATCATTTGGCTCCACAAAGTCAAACTACCTTCACTTTCTCATTTTTTAGGCTTTCTTAAGCCTTTTGAGACTTCACGCTGTGGCTGGAAAACTGAGAAGTCTCATCATCAGTTCTATTGCAACTCAAACCCTGCTTGGCTTCTAACCTCTTCGCAACCTGCTGTCTCATTGCTAGATCTGGTGTCATTGATAACAGAGTCCACGGAAGAAAAGAAGAATGGGATGGAATCACCCAGACATATCGTTGGAAGAAATGATAAAACTGATAAAAGGGTTTGTTGATATCCTGATTTTAGCATCTGGGTACCAATCGTCTGGTCTTCTTGCCCACTGGGACTCCTATAACATCAAGCGAGCCTTCCAATGGGCCCACTTCTTTGAAAATGTCTGTGCTTTGTACCCTCTTTTTCTCTTTCTCTACAAGTTCATTCATTGACTGATTCTACTTTGTGCAAGATATTGGTTGTTCAAGAAATTTATGATTTTTCCATTAGAATTTCCCCCCATATCTGAAATAGGCAACGCTAACTATGTCAACTGAAGTTTCTTTCACTATATTGTTTAGGCTTTTCGGCGTTTAAGATGCTTTGATGTATATCAAGAGTCTATAGTGGAACTTGATGCAGCTCTTATTGAAATGACCTCTCATCCAGCGTTTCCTCAGGTTCTGGTCTTCATAAATCCTACTTTCTTCTATACTAATTGAAATTCAATGAGATTTGTCGTTATTAATATCATTTTCTTCTTATGGTGTCAGGGTCTTGTACATTTGTCGTCTGCTACTCTTAGAAGGGCAAGAAGTTTTTTGTTGGAACACTTGCTCCATAATTTACCATTGAGGGATTCACATCTACAAGCTGTTCTTACAGCAATCATTGAGATAGATCTTAGTGACCTTTCAATGACAGAACATGACTGTCTCAATGCATATTTGAATGATTTGACATTGCAAAACAGGATTTGTATGATGGATACCAGTACATTTTCAGATGTAACTCCGTCTATGGAAACAGAAAATTTTACTGAACTTACTGTTCACGAACTCTTCAGGAGACAATCTTCTGTGTCATGCATATCGATTATTGAGGAAGGAGTCGATGTTCTTGCTAATGTTGTAAAAAATAGCAGCTGGAAAGACTCTGACTGCAGCCTATTTAGGGAGCAAATGAGTCATGAAACTGTTCCAGCTTTGTTGCCGTAAGTACAGATATTTATTGTTATGAATTCCATGTTGAAAATCATGTAAGAACAGAAATACGGATATATTAGCAAATGCTTAGTGCATAAGGGGCGATGGAAACTGTTTAAGTTCTTCCCATCACCCTTTTAGAGTCTAACAGGCTATCCTTTTGTTCTCTTTGTAACTCTTGGATCTCCCTTGTTACTATTTCAACTAACAATTTTCTTTGTGGTACTTGAGGTCTGCAAGATTCGTCAATAATCAAGTGCTTATTGTATCACTTTTCATAAAGGTCTGACCCGATGTACTTTGATTTTTTGCAAATAGAATTGCAGAAGAATTAGTTGATTTTGTCACTTGGAACCAATGGAAATCAAGGGCTTTGTCATACTTTCTTGATAAGCGAACTATTAGGTTGGTGTCTGGTGCAAGTTTAATATTTTCAGGTGCCAACAAACAATGGCGAAAAGTATTTGGGCAGCTGAACATTTCCGAAAAAAGTAGTGAAGATGATTTGCATGAGACAATTGTAAGTTCGCTCAACTTGATATGAATGATAATGATGTAAGCTTGCTTTACTGTAGTTGATGTGCAGCCTAGCACCGAGTGACACATGTTTTTTCATGGCTTTTCCTTGTCTAGTTCTTGCTTTTTTATGGTGCTATGTTTTTTTGGCCGTCATGTCACATGTCCATCTAAATGATAGCTTTGGTAGATTTTAAAGTTGGGAAAGCATGAAGTTTTGGTATGCCATGCTTTGAATTATTTGCCTTCTGTTTATTTGGAGTTTGAATGATGCATTTCAAGGTATATTTGTTTATGATTTATCAGGATTAGAAAAGCATATTTTGTTTCTTCCGTTTACTGTTTGATGTTCATGATACTGTTGTATGGTTGAAGTTATATTGAAAGTAATGGGACTTGAAAGTTTGTTTAATTATTGGGAAAAAGACGGTCTTGTTATAAAGTTCAGTTAGTTTGAAATAAACTGCAACTTGATTGCAGCAGAAAATTCCTTCTTACTTACAAGTGCATAGTTTCAGTTTTCATTTTGTCGACTGGTCATGATTAATTAATTTCACATCTTAGCATGACCATTTTATCTTTTCCTGGGCAAGATTGGTTTAGAACATATATTGGTGCGGTGGTAGTAGATGTTGTGTCGTTTCAAATTATAAATGTTATCTTATTGAGTCTCTATTTGGAGGTATTTGTTTCCTTAAGCTCTAATTTTACTTATAAATCCTCGTTTCCCCCTCCTTATCTCTTGAAAACCAGGAGCTCTTGTTATTAGGAAGTATTGCAAGCAGATGGAATTGCATAATTGAACACTTGATGTCAGTATCTTATGATTCTGTTCCCATCTCAAAGCAATATCATGTACTTGCTAGCTCGGTCTTCGAAATATCTCAAACAGAGGAAATAAAAAAATCGAAGGTATTTTTTTAAGATCAGTGATTGTTTCATATGCCTCTTTTCTAGTAGCACAACCATATTTACTTGTGTTTATGAGCTGTGTCATGTATTATTTATGCATGCATATTCTGGAGGATCTTAATTTGGGTGTTCTTACTTTAACATTCTTTATTTTTTGTGGGATTTTAGTTAAATATTAAAGATGGTTTTTATGCTTCTATCGTTGCATAATTAGGAGATGTACGATTTACAGGCCACAGTTCCATGTTAATCCCTTGTGCTGCAGAAGCAGAAGTCAATAATTCTGTGCCTGCTGCTTTCCTTTGAGTTCTTCAAACCCTTGATTATCATTAAAATGATCCTGACCCTTAATTGTTTGGTAGAATGGTTCCTAAGCTTTATGTATAGTTTAACTGCATTTCTTCATACCAGTTTTACGACCTTCTTTCCTCCTTAACATTTAGAAAAGTTTTCATTTTCATACTGAAAGCAGAAAGCTACTATTAGCCTCATTGTTGTAGTTAGCTATAGCAAAAAAAACCATTTCTCTAGGAAGGATCAAATCTTTGTAGTTCTTTTTCTCTCACCTATCGGACATCTTTAGTAAGCATATTGAATATGATGTGCTATGCAATTAGTGCATTTGTAACATAAAAGAGTCAAATGAATTTGTTTTGCCCCTGAAATAGAAAAACTATATTTTATATATTCAGTTGCAGTGTAAATTTGCTCTGAAGTTATTGTATATTTTGCCTAAATGAGAAGTATTATTTGAATGTTGTTATTGCTGGACTATAGCTCCAAAAATCCATCTTTTTATTGCTTCTAATCTTGTAGTTTGCATCACTGTTTATTGTTTATTTTGGATGTCCAAGTTAGGAAGGTGATATTCTCGATTATCTGATGGAACTGTTGGGTGGTCAAATTCATCTATTGTGGAAATCATCTCCAGCTCTGGCAGCAGTTTCACTTCCATTCTGGTACTATTTATCTGTGTGTGGCTTTGGATAATATGAACCATCTTTGTTGTAACAGATAATTAGGACATCTTATACATGTCGCATTGTGAACAATAACACTTCGTTTATGCTTGTTTAAATTTTTAGAGATTGCACAAAGTTACATTAGTTTAAATATAATGCCTACTGTATACATCTACTCAACGAACTTAATGGCAGAAATCATATTGGAAGTAGAAATCTTGTCCGTATTGAGTAAATTGATGGTGGAAAGAGTCAATTTCCATTGGATCATTGGACATTTCTGAGAATGCTTGTAGTTTGCCTGCTCCATGATTCAAGATGGTTGTAACTGGAATTGCAGGCCAACCCTATATAGATTTTACTTGAGTGATATTGAGATTCAATTTCAAGGAAAACCTTCGATGATAAGGTTTGGCATTTGTAACTCAATTTTTTTAATTGTTCATTATAATATGCCTCAAATTTGTAAGTTAAGGGAAAGCCTTTACATCTCCTATATATATTGTCTTGCAGATGCTGCAATTGTATTCAAGATAGCAATGAGCATAAGGACTGTGAGTATACCAAAAATTTGATACATATACTCCTCATGGATGCTTTTATATAGACTCCACTTCTTGCAATGTAAATTTTACATTCCTTGCTGAGTCTGGAACCTAAAATGGCTATATACCAAAAATGTCACAAGATTAACTTAGCTGTTAGCTGGTGGCCTTATGGTATTATTTCAAGTAGATTGAGAAAGCTTTTTTAAATAACCAACCTAAAACTTAGACTCGAATTTAATTCCTGCTTATACATAGTTTGCATACAATTTTCAATGCTGTCAGTCAACCCTCACTGTCAAATATGATCATCCGATTATAATTCTTTGGTTGTACCCTGCATGTGAAAATTAAGACAAAAGAGAATTACTTTTTTGTTTATTGGACAGCGATGGACTTTTTCATTTTTGGATATTGGAAGAAACTTCAACTTTTAGAATGGAGGAAGATTTGTATAAAAATATCTAAGTAGATAGTATGCTGTATTTCCAGGTGAACTTGCTGAGAGAATCTGGTGTCTCTACATCTTTCATGTTTGTGGCTCTCAAATAATACGTGGCGGCGCTGTGGTGTTTGATTGCTGAAATTTATCGTGTTGATCTTCAATAAGGCTCCCTTTTTCTTGTATCTATTGCTGAAAATGTCATTTCATTTTAATATACTTGTAGTGAGAGCTAGTTTTGGTCTAAATTTTTGTTGTTCAACATCGTGTTCAGAATTAAAAAATGATATAAAACACCAAGCGTATACATATGATGACGAAGTTATTGTTTTTTGCTTTCTTCAAATAAACAAACTTATTGTTGCATACAGTGTTGATGGCGGTGCCAGTTTTTGTTACTGTTTATTATTACCAAGTATTGATCATACCATGCATTATCTGCCTCACAAGGTATTCTCACATCTTTGTGGGTAGAACTATAAATAAGATGAGCTAAGTTCACAAGCTACTCGAGTTTGACTTGGTTAAAGTTCGACCAACACTCAAATCGAATGGATTCAACTCGAACTCGACTCAAATTCTTAACGAGTCGAAGATAACTACTTGATATCCGATTCGAAAAGCTCGCGAGCAATTTGAAAAAAATATATTAAAATTTTAATTTTTAAATTAAATTATTAATAATATTAATATTTATATGTTATTTTCTTTACAAATGCAATATAAAGTTTTCATGTATCTAGGTTCAAGTTTTGAGTTTGAACCGAACTCTAGTTCAATCTTCAATTCAAGTTTTTTTGAGCTCGAGTCGAGTTTCAATTTTTGATTTCGAGTCGAGCTTGACAATTTTAAATTCGTAAGCTTTCGAGTCGAGTTCAATTTTAAACTTTTTGAACCGAGTCGAGCTTAATAATACTCGAGCTCAACTCGGTTCATTTACGGCCCAATTTGTGGGCCTTCCTAATCCTCCTATAAAGCGAGTATTTTTGTGGGGGGAAAACAGGATTAGACTTGGGCACTAGAAGGGCCATTGATTTATTGCATCTTTCTCTTTGCCTCTCCTTTCGGCACTAGAAGGGCCAGACTTAGGCATGGACGGTATAAATTTTTAATCATAGCAAACCTACTCGTAGTCTCTCTTTTCATCATTTTTTAGATTTTTCCCAGAAAATTTTTATTGCGTAAACTAGAAGAGAAAGCACACATGATAAACATAAGCAACTTTTTGGAATGTTAAGCCAACCCAAAAGGTGCTCATCTCATACATCATATCACTACTCTCTCCAAGTTGAGACGATTGATGACCTAGGAATGATGGTAAAAGCAAAGTGGAAAGAACATTGAGTGGTGGTGGTTCTGATTTCAGACAAATGGCTAACTGCCATCTAACATCTAAGACAGTGATGTCTTTTGGTAGGGGAGTTAGATGCACCAAAGGCTCAATTCATGCTGTCCTTGAAACTATATATCTTATTCTTGTTGCTTTTAGACTTGCAAGCTCTCCACTTTGAGTGGATATAAAGGGAGAGTTTTTATAACTGAAAATTACGAAAACGCAGATCATGAAGAGGATTCAGTTCTTGAAGTGGGAAAAGAAAGTAGCAAGTGATGAGTATGCCGTCAAGCTTATCGGTGTAGAAAGACGGCCGACTTTGTGTTGCTGCTCAAAGTTACATGTGTTGAAGCAGTTTGTTTTGAAGCTCAAGTCACAATGGAGGAAAGCTCTGAGACTGCAAAGAAGCAGCACGCAGTTCAGTTATGACTTCCACAGCTATTCTCTCAACTTCGACGACGGGTTTTCGCGTGAACATATGATACACTGAGTTCAACACAATGAACTTTTGGCTCTCATCTTTCCTAATAAAGTACATAAACCCTTTTGTTTTCTGTTGTCATCCCCATTGAATTTCCTATGATATAACCGTTGTAACATGAAACTTCAGCAACAAAAACAAAAGGCAGTTTCTGGGTTTAAATGTTTGAGATGATTACATTTTCCCCCAACATGTGATCAGCAATGCTGTTTTCATTATGTTGTCTGAACCAATCACTTTAGTTTCCGGGTATGAAAGAATATTTAATTGCATCCAATCACATTTTTTTCTTTCCGTGTTTATGGCAAGAATTGCGGGACATATTTATTCCTGTTGGCTCTGAAATAGTTGAGAAACCAGCAATCATATAGGGCATTCAAGGCTTAAAATGAAATTGTATGGATCGAACGGGGCTGGTGGGGCGACTTCTTTATATATATTTTTATTGATAATCTGTTTTTGTCTCTAAAATTTTATAAGTATGTTCTTTTTAAAACTTTATAAGTTCATCTCTAATATAAAATTTTACGTCAGTCTTTTATCGATTATGTGATTTCTAAACTGGTAAATGCCAGCTGAGAACCCAAATGGCACGGCGTGGAAACATGAGTTGGGTACCATAATTTTGACCGACATTTAGCTTGTCCATATATCCATTATCCCTCAACTAATATACCATCTTCCGTTTAATAAATAATCATTGAATGTGATTATCCAAGGCTGGATTATGGCTCCATTCCAGGGTCCAGGCCTTCACCCCACGTGATACTTCCTTTTTTTATGCTCCTCATTCAACGATCCGAGTTCATCTCAATCTTCATTCCTCACCTTTTCTCAGCAAAATGGCAAGGGAAACTGTGCTCCTTCTGGCATTGACATGCCTCTTCACTGGCCTAGCAGCTGCCGACTGGAACATTTTGAACCCGAAATGGAGATTTGACGCAACACAAGATCCCTGGAAAAACTATTGTGAAAGTTGGAGGATCAATGTGGAGCTGAACAACATAAGGGAGTTCGAAGCAGCACCCCAAGAATGCGTCGATCACATCAAGAAGTACATGACTTCGTCTCAGTACACGGCCGACTCCGACCGAGCAATCGAGGAAGTGAAACTATACTTGAGCCGCTGTTGCTCATTGAAAGGTGATGGCAAAGATGCATGGATTCTCGACGTCGACGACACACTGATCTCCACCATCCCTTACTTCAAGAAACATGGTTTTGGGTAAGAATTAAAATTTCCACCCTAGTCCACTATGTCCTTAATGACATGGTCATTGTTCAATGCTTGATTACATAATGATGAATCTGATGAACTAAACCAGGGGAGAGAAGTTGAACTCATCTTCTTTGGAGTCATGGATGAAAGAGAGCAAGGCACCAGCTCTAGACCACACATTCAAGCTCTTCCATGAGATCAAAGACAAAGGGATCAAAATCTTTCTAGTCTCCTCAAGAAAAGAAACCCTTCGATCTCCCACAGTCGACAACCTCATCAAGGTCGGATACCATGGATGGGCTAGTCTCATCTTAAGGTATGCAAATGCAACTTACCAAAATTCTCAAGTTTCGATTTCGAAAACTGCAGTTTCCTAGTTATTGATCCAATGTTTTTGAATGAATTGAAGGGGTCTTGATGATGAATACATGCATGTGGAGCAATACAAGTCCCTGGCAAGGAAAAAGTTAGTGGACCAATGATACCGCATATGAGGAATTGTTGGAGATCAATGGAGCAGTATAAAGGGGCTGCCAGAGGCAAAGAGAACATTCAAGCTCCCAAATTCCATTTACTACCTGTCTTAAAGCTTCAGCTGAAATCGATTTTTATGCCCATTTTCCCAGAAAATGGGCTTTTGTACTTGTGGCTGTTTCCAGAAATCCATAATAAAATAAAAAATATATATGTAATAAATATATAAAAGTTGAACAAACACTGGAACTCAGGATGATAGAAATGAAACTAAAAACAGCAATGGCAGGGCAGAAAATTAGAGCTCTATAACTCTGCCTTTAAAATCTATGGAGCAGACACTGCCTGGCAGAAATCAGTGTTTTATGTACTATCCAATGTTGTTCATTCTTGGATACTTTTGCAGAAATTACTTGTCCTCAAGCTATTGTATTAGTTTAATTTAATTCTAAAAAATAACCCTCAACATTTTAATATTCTTCTAATCTAGTATCTCTTTTTTTCTATTTCTATCCTCCATCATTCTTCCACCATCTTCATCATTCCTCTGTCTCCATTGATAAACACCTTCCTCTCAATTTCAGAGAGTATTCATTAATATAGCATATTTCAGGGCACATAAAATGAATTGGCTGTATAGGACATTGATTAAAATTATCAATGATTTTTTAATAATGTACGAGGATTTATTCATAATCTTTTTAACCATTTATAACGCGTACGCAACTACTCAAACACGGAATCTTAAGGGAGAATGATACTAACTTTAATCACTAAAGCTACTCAATGAGTTCAGCATTGACAATCTAAACACCAAATACACCAAGATGCAGAATATGATTAGAAAGGAACCGTATAGAATATGATGTAAAAACCCAGAAAAAAAAAATCAAATACCCGAGGACGCAGAATTCGATCCATCTCTACAATTAACTCCAAGATATAGTTTTAATGAATTGTTTATAATGGAATTGGAGAGTCGACAGTTCTTTAACCTTTGTCTAGCAAAAATGAAAGCTTATTTCTTTTATTAAATAGAAATATATTAAATTTTCAAGGTATATGTAGGGATTTAAATCTATACAAAACAGGATAACATAAACATCACTGACTACTTTACCAATTAATGAAAACTTATTCTTGTTAGAAAATAGTAATACTGTAAAATAAAAATATTAGTATTCACATAATAATAATAAGAAAAAGAAGAAGAAGAAGAGTTAATTGCATCATATATCCCCAAACTATATTCTCATTTTAAATTGTCATTACACTTTTGAATATTCTAATTTCATCCTCAGACTATGACTCTAATTATAAATTAGTCCTTAAACTTTTAAACATTCCAATTTCATCCCAAACTATGACCCTTATTCTAAATTGATCCTCAAACTTTTAAACATTTCAAATTCTTCTTCAAATTCATCCAAATATGTAATTAGTTTCAACTATATTTAACCTAATTTTTTTCCAAGTATATAAGAATACAACTTGGCCTAACTATTTTATTAACAAGGGATGTGGTTAGTATACACATATAATTTGGGATGAAATCAAAATGTTCAAAAAGTTTGGAGATTAATTTAGAATGATATAATCACCGTGTTATGGTAGTAATTTCACATGGATTGGTGTAATCCCGAAATGGATTGTTACCTCTCCAAGATTAACACAATATTTCAAACCTCGTACACCTGAAATAAGAAAATGAAACCCGCTTGTATTGCTCTCTTTGATATAATTTTTTTTTCAAGAAAGAAATACCGAAATTATAAATTTTGTGTCTCATTATGGAGATGAATTATCTCTTTACAAAAGTGGTAGAGGAATAAAATCGTAAAATAACAATTACTCACTCTAACTACTCACTAAATATAGATAACCAACTCCGCATAATTAGTGACCATTATTTATGTTACTTACCATTCTAACATGATAGTATAATAGTATCAAAACACAACTTGGTTTCATTAATTTTATTTAGTAAATAACATAGATCGATACAAAAACATAACTCAATACTCAAAATACTTCAGTAATGTCATATAATAGATATTAAAATATAATTATTTTGAGAGTTTGATGTTCATATTGTCAAATCTTGTGTGAGTTCAAATTCTGATATTTAGCTTAAAATGTAATATCTTTCTATTTAATTAAAAAAATACAATTATTTTAAATTTTAATAATAACAAATTTTAAAGACTAAATTGGAAAAAACAATATACTTAATTGGAACAAATCAAGCATTAACCTAATACTATAAAAGAAGCCAGTGACGAATTTTAAGAGTTGGTTTTCTTAAACAGGAGAGGACTAAACCACTTGACGGGTGCTACCTAAAATTCAGATATGAACTAAAAAAATCTTTAAGGACTAAATTAGAAAAAAAATATTTTAAAGACCAAATCAAGAATTAACCCTAGGAAAATAGCAGATGTCAACTATTGGGAGTAGAAGTTCAACAGGTGCGATTGGTTCCCGGAATGTAAGATTACCAGTGGGAATAAAAGATTACCAGGGAATAGGATTACTGGGAATGTTGTATTTTGTGTTTGGTTGGTTTAGCAGGAATGTAAGATTACCGTGCTTGGTTAAAGGAATAAAAGATTATTGGAATGTATATTTGACCAAATTGTCCTTATTATATATTTGTATAATATTACAAATTGTAAAATATTTATATATTTTCTTTAAAAAATTAAATTCATAATATTTATATAATTTTTTTACAAAATTAAAAATATAAAAAAGGTTTAATGAAAGGGTAATTTTTTTTTAATCCCTGAACTTCATATAAAATTTTAATTATAGACTTTTTTTGTAAATCTAAAATAATTTAAGGATAAATTTGTAATTTACCCTTCATAGAATTTTTATTATTCAATGACAGAAGAATGATATTTTTGAAAAAAAAAATAAAAATTTAAGGGCATTTTAGTCCAAAACGCCGGTAATGTTACAATACCTAAAGGAAGGGAGGTGATGACATTCCCGGTAATATATCCCAAAAAATCTACTATTGGTAATAAAATATTACCGGGAATGAGATTCTCGACCAACCAAACATGGGAATGTGAGATTCCCATGAGAATCTCTCAATCCTTGAACCAAACACCCCCTAAATGTATACAGAGGGATAGATTGAAGGTGACATATTATTTTCTAAAAATCTTAAATTCTCATATAATTTAAATAAGTTTTTAAAAAATATATTGATAATTTATGTTTGTTCCTTAAAATTTTATAAGTTTATCCCTAAACATAAAATTCTGCATTCATCTCTATAGAAAAAACAAAATATTTTTTTATGTAAAAAACAAGAACAGGTGATATAAATAAAAAAAATATTTTATATGTATTTATGGTGATATCCGTTGACATTCATATTCGTCCAAGTTTGTTGTTATTCTTACATCAGTGAAATCGTGCACACTGACAATCTATAACTATTCCAATTGCTATGCTGGTCGATAAGTTTGAGAGAATTGTTCATTTTCTTTGGGCAATAGAAAATTATTCCTTTTATTAAGTAAATATTATATAATTTACCCATTTACTATATAAAGTTGTATATATATATGGCCACATGATCTTCGATAGGGCTTTAATCCTATCCTTGCTTTCACAATGTCAAAGGTAGAAGAAGAAAGAGGGTCAGCAGAAGAGTATACTGAAGATGGAAGTGTGGATCTCAAGGGCAGGCCCGTGTTGAGATCAAACACTGGTAGATGGAAAGCTTGTTCTTTCATTGTTGGTAGGTGTTTATATACTACTATGAAATCATGTTTGTTGTTGGGAATAAATTAATCTCGTCAGTTATTGGTGGTTTAACGGAATATTGCAGGATATGAAGTGTTTGAGAGGATGGCATATTACGGTATAGCATCGAACCTGGTGCTGTATTTGACGAATAAGCTCCACGAAGGAACTGTAACATCGGCAAACAACGTCAACAACTGGGTCGGAACAGTGTGGATGACCCCGATTTTAGGCGCTTACATTGCGGATGCTCATCTGGGTCGCTACTGGACTTTTGTTATTGCATCAGCCATTTATCTCACAGTAATACTACCTTTCCTTGAATAAAATGCTCAGTTTCTTCGTTTTCCTACTTATGTATATATTCCCTTGAAGAACTTTAGATGGATGATAATAATTGTATTCGATACCGATGAAAATAAACAGGGAATGTCGCTGCTAACCTTGGCAGTTTCCGTGCCTGCCTTGAGGCCTCCATCATGTGGTAATGGGATCAAAGAAGAAGACTGCAACGTAAGAGCCTCACTTTTGCAGAAAGGCTTATTCTATTGTGCACTGTACATAATTGCAATAGGAACCGGCGGAACCAAGCCCAACATTTCCACCATGGGTGCAGACCAGTTCGATGACTTCGAGCCCAAGGAAAGGGTTCAAAAGCTATCCTTTTTCAACTGGTGGATGTTCAGCATTTTCTTCGGCACCCTCTTCTCCAACACTTTCTTGATCTACATACAAGACAATGTGGGGTGGAACATTGGTTATGGCCTACCAACAGTTGGTCTAATGGTCTCTATCTTGGTGTTCTTAGTGGGAACTCCATATTACAGACACAAATTGCCTTTGGGTTCTTTTACCAGGATTTTCCAAGTGCTTGTGGCTGCAGTCAGCAAGTGGAATGTGCCTGTTCCAAGTGACCCTAAAGAGCTTCATGAGCTTAGCTTGGAAAATTACTCAAAATCTATGAAATTCAGAATTGATCACACCCCCTCATTAAGGTTGATTTCTCTATTTCAACTTCTTAACTTCCCATGTTTTACCAGAATAAATTACTTGGACTGACTAGCTACCGCTGCTCGAATGACAGATTCCTTGACAAAGCTGCGGTAAAGAGAGGGCCAAACTCACCATGGATGCTGTGTCCAGTGACCCAAGTTGAAGAAACCAAGCGGATGGCGAAAATGATCCCAATTTTGACAGCAACATTCATTCCAAGCACCATGTTAGCTCAGGTGGCAACATTGTTTGTCAAACAAGGAACCACTCTTGACCTTACAATGGGACCCCATTTCAAAATCCCTCCGGCTTGTCTCACTGCATTCGTTACCATCTTCATGTTGATCAGCATTGCCATATACGACCGCTTGTTCGTCCCAACAGTGAGGCGTTACACCAAGAACCCCAGAGGGATCACATTACTTCAAAGAATGGGAATTGGCCTTGTTCTGCAGATCACCGTTATGATAACTGCTTGCTTCGTTGAAAGGAAGAGGATCAGTGTCGCGCGAGAGAATCATAAACTCAATAAAGACGACATAGTTCCTCTCAGTATTTTCATACTCCTACCACAGTTCGCTTTGATGGGGGTTGCCGATTCATTCGCCGAAGTTGCGAAGATTGAGTTTTTCTATGACCAAGCACCAGATGGGATGAAAAGCCTTGGGACCTCCTATTTCACTACCAGCTTAGGAGTTGGACATTTCCTTGGCAGTTTCATTTTGACCACGGTTTCTGATCTGACAAAGAGATACGGCCATAGAGGATGGATCTTGAACAACCTCAACATTTCTCGCATAGACTATTATTATGCCTTGTTGGCTTCCCTGGGTATCCTCAACTTCATCTTCTTCCTGTTTGTGGCCAATTCTTTTGTTTATAATACAGACGAGACTCAAAAGGATTTGCAGGAAGCCATTGAAGTTTCACCCGACAAAGCTTCACCTAAAGATCCAGCCTTGGAAGCCGGTCCAATCTGATGAAATCCCTTGTAATTTTCTCTCACATTCAATAATGTAAAATGCAAAATTTCAGTGAAGTCCCGTCAACTCTCTTTGTATCTCTTGTTTCTATATGTTACCTATATTCGTTTTCTTTTAACTTTTCTGCAATTTCTTATTACTATGACTGGATTTCAGCCAATTCAATACTGTAATTACGTAGTTTGCAACCAAAACCAGTCACCCAGTTGCCATTTGAATCTCTAATCAATCTTTTTATTTTGGTTCCAACTACCATCTGCGTTGAGTTTCAAGTTTCCTGACTTTTTCCACCTACACAAAACTTCAATTCTTCTTTCTCCAGGCTGCTGCTAATTCAATACAGCTGCTTCACCTTCTTTTATAATTTTACTAAAAGACTTGAAGCTTTCAATCTGAAATAACATTCATTTGGTTGAAGATAGTCCCACTTCTCCATCTCCAATGCTTCCACACGATATTTGCAAAAATAATTGGCCATAACAAGCCGCCAACTGTTATATGATGTGTGATTCTTTTCTAGAACCTCCAATGCTCTAGATACTGAAAGAGACATAGAGTCAAATTTATTAGTATGCTTTGTCTTGTTTGGTTGAAAGATGATTGTGATGGCCCTTGAAATTATCGTATCTTTTTATGTGGTAAAGACGGACGGGAGAATTCTTGAGCTTTCTTATTGGATCTCCTAGAGTCACCATTCCTTTTATCTTTGGCTCCCTGAGCAATTTCAGTAACAATCACCCTATTCACCACCTCTTGAAAATCAGGAAACCCTAGAACCATGAACAAGGAATGAAGATTATCACTAAAAACGTTAACGAATATCTGATACTTATCTTCATCAGTCTTAATGTATTCAGAACCATAACAACAAAATCGAAAAAATTCTTCAACATATTAATCCACAATCTTGTTCCCTTGCTTTAGGTACAAGAACTTTTACCTTCTTTCCAAAGAAGTAATTATCATTGATATACTTCTTGAATTCTTTCACAAAGAAGTCCCGTGTCATTTTCCCTACAGAGACCATCAGGATGGTAGTCTCCCACCAGTTTTGAGTCTCGTCAAAAATCAAGGCCACAACACATTTCAGTTTATACTTGTCGGAGCACTGAAGTTGATTATTCAAAATATTCAAAGTATTCTCCAACCCGGTAAACATATAAGCTTATCGATAAGAGCTCGAGAACTAAGGTGAAATTTGAAGTTGATCCATCAATTTCATGAATCTTTCGACCATAACATACATATTTTGAGAGTAAGCCCCTTGCTGAATCTTTCAAAGTTGTTATAACCTTTTTCTTTTATCTGAGAATTATAATTTGGAAATTCTTGTGTGACTGATGTTAAATATTGCAAAAAGAAAAGTTTTATTGAGATTCCTTGAGGTTCAATCCATACATATAGTTTTATTACACGCGTTTGAATTACATCTTCATGTTTATGAGTGGTGATCAAAGGTTTTTATTTATGCTGCCTTCAACAATTCTGCAATCTTCTTGGAAATGCAGTAGGAGGTGGATTGTATTGTGATCATGGGGTTGACTCCTATTGCAGTTGGCAGGACACTAGCATCGCAAACGAACAAACCTTCAGCTTCCCAACTCTGACCATTCTCATCGACTGCACCTTCTTCCTCGGTTGCACCAATTCTACAACTTCCTATCTGATGAGCCGTAACGTACATGGTCCAATATTCATCCTTCGAACTAAGCCCACCTACCACGGTAACGTCATCCAGAAACTCCTGCAAACTTTCCTCCGTCAGGCCTTTGCATTTAACTCTCTGCCCATCGCTTCGATGTGTTCCCACTTCCACTGCCCCGGCTGCGATCAGAATCCTTAAAACCTGTCTCAACCCTAACTTTAGATTTTCTTTATCCAATTCACTCAACCGGTACTTTATCTTGCCTTCTTCCATTACTTGTCCCGAACCCTGGTCCCTGATCAGCGCGAAAAGATGTGCCAATCTTGGATACCTTACCATTCTTTCCTTCAGCTCCCGTCCCGACACCCACGGAAATAAGGCTGCGAATGAGGCTGGTCCCAGTGCCGGAGCTTGGATGATTGCATGGACATTTGATTTGGATTCTTCTGAAACAATTCTATGGAAAGAAGTTATGATTCCACCCTCGTAGCTTTTGCCTTGAATCCCTGATTCGTCTTCTGGAAAGTATCCCCAAGCTACTAGTACTGGATGCAAATGAAGATTCCTGCCAATATGTGGGTTTTTTAACCCACTAGAGATCATCAAAGGAGGTGTAAATAGAGATCCACAAGATGAAATTGTTGCTTTAGCCTCAATGTGTAGCTTCTTGGTCAAGTTTTTGTTCAAAGATGTGGCGATCACACCCAAGCATTTCTTTCTTCTCCTTGCATCGTTGTTGTTGTTGTTCACCACTATAAACTTGTCTGCTTTGCACGCTGTGAGGATCACAGCACCACAGCTCTGTGCATCAACCAACCATGTAGTATCAGTTCCTCTTTTGTCTCCTGTTCTACATCCAAGATTGCAAGAACCACAGTAATGATCCTCCGGTGAATTTCTCGGAACTGCCTCCGCTTTCAACCCAAGTTTCTCACACCCTTTTCTAAGAACTTGATTTTGGAACCCTTCCTCGGTACAATTTTCTGTGACGCCGAGCCTTCGGCACACAGCGTCCATCGCAAATTCATAATCAGAGCTGCTGAATAACGGAATTTTATGATCCGCAGACCACTCCTTGAGAACATTCTTCGGTGTTTTGATCGATGCGGACCAATTAATAGCAGAGCCTCCTCCGACTGTTGAGCCAGCCATGATCATAAACTTCCCGTTCGTGGAAGTCAGAAATCCCCCGAATTCGTAAAGCTCAAACATAGAGGGACCTTCTAGAGAAGTATAGTCTGTAGATGCAAAATAGTTCCCTTTCTCAATAACCACCACTTTCTGGCCTGAGCTTGCAAGAACTGCAGCAGCAACGCCTCCACCGCAACCGGAACCGACTATCACGACATCACATTTGATCTTGTAGACGTCGTTATCTGGATCTTCAGTGACTTGAAGGCCTTTATCAGTGAGAGATTGAACGAAGGTGGAATCATCTTCGTGCATTGTTTCTATAACACTCTTTTGAAGTGGTCGCCCTTGGGGTTCAGGAGATGATACCCTTCTCTGCCGCTTGTCGACGTTGTATCCTATTGCTTTCCATGCTGGGTTTTCTGATTTTTCATCAGTCTGCGACACAGATGATCATTTAAAAAACAAACATTGTTCATGCATATTGATCACACATCAAATATCAATCATTATCTTCACGATTCCTTGTAATCAGGGTTCGATTGATAGAAAGATTAAATTGATACAGTACTATATTTTAAGAATTCAATTAGAATGTTTTAAAGTTTAAAATTTTAATTAATTATAAATTTATAAAGCAATATATAATTTTTGAATTGAATTGAGTATATAGAAGAAACAAATATAATTTTTATTTATATTTAATGATACATAATTTTATATGTTAATAACGAATAAGATGATAACACATCAATATATTCAAATAAATAGTGAGCATTATATAATTTGTAAAACTAAGTTAAATGTTGGCATGCCCAGAATGTCCCAAAGCCGAGTTATATATTTTAGCATAAAATACGTAATTAGTTATTCAACTATTACATTGATTTCGTTTTGGTCATCCAATTATTTCTTTTTTTCAAAATCATCACTAATGTTACGTTTTGGTTTCATATTGGTCACCCGCCATTAAAAAATTAATAGAAATACTAACGTGGTGTTTTTAATGATGACAAGGCACTATCTTATGGTTGAATGATTAAACGATGGGTGATCAAAATGAAACCATAACTAATGTCAATGATGATTTAAAAAGAATAGTTTAATGATTAAAACGGAACCAAAGTGATAATTAGATGACTAAATATTAAGGGTGTTCAAAATTACCGGACCAGTTGACCTGGACCTTTAAAAATCGGGAAATTTTCTAAAAATAATTACCCGAATAGGCCGGGTACCCGACTTGTGATTTCTCCCAGGGTAGTTGCGTCGGGTCTAGGTCAATTTTTTTTCATAACCGGCTACCAGACCTAACACTGTAGTTTTAATATTTTTTTAATTTTAAGTTATATTTTTATTTTAGATTCTTTAATATTTGTACCTTGAAACTAGATTTAAATCCCTAAATTCTTTTTAGATTTGTATTGTGTACTTTTAAAATTTAAAATTTTCAAAAATATTTTTATTAATTTGTCAAAATGAGATTCGCAGTAAAAAAAATACTATCGATTTAATATTTTTAATGTTTTTTCAAATTTATTATATATATATATATATATTTAATTTTTGATTATGGATTATGAATTTTTAAATTTTAAGTGTTTCTTATGTGAATTTTTTAAAAAAGAAAAAGAATATTAAATTTTAAAAAATATTAATTGAATACCCGATATTTGATTTTATGGGTACCCAAACTTTACGGATCCTCAATTAGTGGGTATTCGAGTCACGAACCGGGACACAGATCGACAAATGTACTATTCGAAAAATCGGATACCCGACATCGGGTATCCAGTTAAGAACACCCCTATTAAATACGTACTTGATATTATATCCAAGTTGGTTGGGTACCGTGTCAAATACAAAGCATGGGAACATTTACAGCTGACTTTTTTTAAAGAGGGATATTTTTGGAAGCGTATTTTTCAGTTTCGGGCCAAGGTGTAAATCATCGGTGTTTTTCTTAAAAAAATTATCGGTGATTAGTATATTTATCGATCTAACACCGATTAGATTATATTTTTCTATCTAACACAGGTCAGATTATATTTTCTGATCTAACACTCGTAGCAGTAAAGCGTGCTTCCTGCCCCGCACTATATGCTGATTTGACGCCACGTGGGGTATAACGCGCACCCTATATCGCGCTATATGCTAACATGGCTTACACGTGGATATAGCGCGTCCCCTGATCCGCGCTATATGCCACATAGGAGTATAGCGCCGTCTCTGCTCAGCGCTATACCTGTGTATCTGACAAAATTAATCCGCGCTATACCTTTTATCTGAATAATTATATATAGCGCGATGCAAATATCGCACCTTATATGGTTATAAATACCCTTCATTCCCGGTTAAGTTTCTCATATCTCTTCACATCTCTCCTCTCAACCTATAAATTAATACAATAATTCCATCAACGAGAAATAATTATAGTAATTTTCTCATATTTGATTTAAAAATTCGTGCGATTTTTCGTTATAAATTTTGTTATAAATTTGAGATAATTAGAGAGAGAATTTGAGAGAATATGGTGTAATGAAAGTAATGGAGAATGATGATATTTATGGGGAGGATTGTGGGTAATTAAAGGTATAGCGCCTCCTGTACCGTGCTATACTCCACGTGTCAGATAAACAGTTATAGCGTGGGTTAGGAGCCGTGATATATCCACGTGTAAACATGTCAGCGTATAGCACGATACATGGGATGTATTATACCTCACGTAGCGTCAAATCAACATATAACGCGGGATAAAGAACACGTTTTACTACTACGGATGTTAGATCAAAAAATATAATTTGACCGATATTAAAATGATAAATATATCGATCACACGTGATTTTTCGAAAAAAACGACTAAATCATCTTGATTCAAAAACTGACTTCAATAGTAATCAGGAAATTATTCATGTTACTTGTCAAACGTCCATTCCTTACACGGCAACGCTAAAGTACTCTCGTTTTTTTACTCTACTAATCACTTATACTACTACACATATAATTAAACTCAATTTACACACTCAAATAATTTGTATATGAATTATTTTCATATTAGAATTATAATAATAAATTAAGGGTCGTATTATTAAAATATTAATTAATTAAACGTGTAAAACTTTATTATTATGAAGTACAAGAAGATAGAAAGAAGGAAAGATGGATAAAGGAGAGGCAAAAGAGATTTTACCATGGAGAAGAAGACGAACAAGCAGTACGTTTTGATCAAAGCGAAAACAGCTCTTAAAGGCAAGGGATGACGGCCATTCCCTGACCATTTCATTAGTATTTTTTCTCTCCTCTCCACCGGCAGCTCAGAAAGCTTGTGAATGAATGGCCATTTCCGGTCACAGCAATCCCGCCCACAAAGCAACAGTGTCCCCAATCTGAACGACACAACCGTCAGCACCACTTTCACAAAAGAGATCACCCTCGGCTCCACCCTCTTCACCAACACCTCCGCCACCTGTTCATTTCAAAAACACTCTATAAACTACAACCAGAGATGAACAGATATATTGGGGGCTTTTTAAAATTACCTCGTCCGGAATTGGGGGCTCAGCCCCAGAAGCTTTGTAGAAATCATGGAGGGAAGAAGCCTGATCAGCGGGTGAATCGAGTGGGAGGGGAGGGATCAAAGCTTCACAGATGGCAGCAAGTGATTGGATCTGAGCTGAAGAGAAACCATGGGTGTACCCAGTTTTTCTCCTACCTCCCCTCAGCAAAGGATGACCACCGATCTCAGCGTTTCCAGTTTCCATGGTATGATTTTTTTTGGGTTAAGCTAATACTGTTTTCGGGTTTGGTTATCTGCTGGGTTATGGGGGAAGCAAGTTATTGGAATTTATAGAATAGACCAAAAGTTGGCCATGTTCAGTTTCTTGTTGGATCATCATCAATGTAAGGCTCGTTTGCCTCATATGCCGTTATCTTCTGCCTCCTCGCTCATCTTTATTTCTGTCCTCAACTTTTAGTTTCTTTGGCATTTGTGTTATCCGTGTTCTTTTTAGGCTAAACTACACTTATAATCATTTAATTATTGTACGTTTTCATTTTAACCATTGATATAGGATCATTTAATTCTTGTCCTTTTTATTTTGACTATTGATCTTTTGATTTTATCAATTAAATCATTTAATTATTTAAATTATATCAATCAAGACACTATTTTTAACATTTAACAGAATTGTTGATGTGATAATTAATAAAATTAATTTAATTGTATATTTAATCATTATTACTTATAAATTCTATCAATTTAGCTTCTATAATCATTCATAATACTAATTGTTAGTAATAATAATAATAATAATAATAATAATAATTTTTTAGTTATACCATATTCATAATATTATAATAGATAAAAATAGTAATAGAAATACATGAAATTGAATAACCTAATTTGACATTTTTTAAAAAAAAATTGAAGATGTATATATTAAAATTTAAAATCCTTTAACATATCATTTCGTCTAGTATCGATATTGTTCTAAGATAATACTAATACCGCATGAATGATGTCAATATCATCTGTCTTGAATGTTTAAATCATTCAATTTGGTATATGATATTGATGATAATTATGGTATGACCCCTAAGCAAGTTGATTTGTATAAAATGGTTACAAACGAGTTTAATAGAGATTGTATTTACAATGTAGTCCCTAAAATCATAACTTGGTTAATTAATTATCGGATAATTGAATTAAATTAAAAATGTTATCAATATCGTTTCTGATCAATTAGTATAACATTATCGATTCGGTTTCTGGTCAGGCTAGATTGAGTGTGTTACATTAAAATTTTAAAACACGTAAATGTTGGACCTTTGTATGTTTAATAAACTAAAAGTCAATCTTAAATTTCATTAAGTTTTCACTAAACCAAGCCTAATTATTTGATTCATAAGTGATTACCCATCATTTGGTGTCATTCATTTTAAGTTCAAGGTATGGTAAGGTTAAACCCTAAACTCTAAATCCTAAACTAAATTTATGGTATACACGTTAATTCAGAGTTTTGATTTTTGATTATAGTGTATTGATTTGTTATTATTTTGTATTTATGTACTTTTTGAAGGGCAAGAAGTGGAAACCTTTAAAGTAAGGGAGAAATTATTCGAGCAATTTGTTAATATGAGGAATATCGTAAGTTCAGATTAAGTGTGTGTGATTGATATCGAATCGAAATTTACATGTATATGAATGATTCTAAGTTAAAATTAAATTTAGGTCAATATCACAATAAACATACATATAAATTCGGACATGATATTAACTACACTCGCCTTATCTAAACTTACGACATTTCTCAGATTGATAAATAATACCTACATAGTTATAAAGTTAAATAATTATATATTATATGAGTCATTATTTTCTCACTACAACAAAACAGGTTTTTAGCGGCGTTTTTTTGGTCATACAACGGCATTTTTAAACGCCGCTAAAAACCTTTGTGGCGCAAAAACAAACGCCGCAAAAAGCGTCGTTGAAACAAGCGTCGCAAAAGGTAGCGGCGTTTTTCGTTCACAAACGCCGCTGAAGGTGATGTTTTTTAGCGGCTTTTTTTTACAAACGCCGCTAAAGGTAATTATATTTAACGGCATTTTTTATTACAAACGCCGCTAAATGTTATGATATTTAGTGGCGTATTTTCCAAACGCCGCTATTTATCTTTTCTTTTGTGGCGTTTTGTGCCAAAAACGCCGCTAAATGACTTGACATATAGCGGCGTTTGTTCCCAAAAATGCCGCTAAATGTTATGTAATATAGTGGCATTTGTGAATGTAAAATGCCGCTATTGACTATGTATTTAGTGGCGTTTTCTATACAAACTCCGCGAATTAAAACTAATTTTTCAAATGTTGTTTTCTACTCTTTTGTTACCCAAATTTAACATGTAAACCATTATCCAATAAACTTAACATCCATAACAACAAACTTGAAATCTATAACAAGATACTTAAAATCTATAATAATAAATCAAAGTTTACATTAACGTAAAATATAATGTAGTTCAACATTGTTAACTAGAATAAACAATAATAACACCTAAGATGGTGGACTCGGGGGTTGATTTTGTCGTGTCATCTGCATCATAGCTTGAAGTTGATTTTGAAAGTCTTCACATTTTTTCTGATATGTTGCTTCTCTCTTTGCTTCCCTTGCTTTAGTTTCGACTCCATTTCGATATTCGTCGCTTACCCTTGAAAAATCATCCTTGACATATACAGGCTGCAAAAGAAGGAAAAATAAGAGTACTAAAAGAAATTTATAAACTAAATTATGGAAACTGAAAATTATGCGTCTGAAAATTAAAATCTTAGTTTAGACTTTAATAAGATAAAATTGTTTCCGTTTTCAAACTTTTTTGTAAACAAGTATATTATGTAAAAGGGTGGTGATTCCAGTGTGACCAACACTCTTAAATAGAATCCAATGACCCTTTTAAATCTTTCTTTTCTGATGTCTCCTCTCAGTTCCCTTTAATAGAATTTCTATTTGCAAAGAATAAGTAATATTGTTTTGAAGCAGTTTGCTTCATCATAAGGATCAATGACACAAATAAAGTCACATGAGATTTAATTAAAGGCATGGTTTGAAGACCCACTCACTTAATGTTTTATTCACTAATCTTGTCAAACTATTTGGACACGGGGGTCATTCCACTGGAACAACAAACCAGAGATGCTGGAATAGCAGTATGGACAAACTAGATGTCAATGGATTAGTACCTTTTGTATGCAGAACAAAAGAAAATGAAGGATTAAAACTTCACAAAACTTGTACAGAACATTCAGAGAATAATATAGAATAAAGATGAACTTGGATTGTGATCTTTGTTTCACTGCATAGAACAGGAATTGGCATCATAAAAGAACTTTTCATTACTTACATTTTTTGGCTACACGCCTAGAGACACATTGAACCACTTTTTAGGTAAAATATTTGGGTAATGAAAATAGAGGGAAGATTAACAAATCATCTAACTTAGGTCAGAACACTTCTCTCTTTCTCTCTCTTGACATTTTATTTTTGTCTGATTATGCTAAAATCTAGTTTTATTAGGTGCTATACCAAAGATCTAACACTTCCTTTATATTCTGTCTAGCCTTATTTAAACCTTCTACTTATGACATGCATATATACATAACAGGTGCATCGCTCCAGGTAACTCAAGGGCGTTGTCATTTGATGAAATTTACACCCCAAATTATTTTTTTAAGCAAAATATTTTGTAAATTTAATATAAAAATATTAAAAATATAATTGACACCCCTTTAAAATAATATTGACACCACTCTAAAAATAAATGACACCGTACTATAGATTTCCTGGCTCCACCCATGTGATAACTGAAAGTGACTTCTCAGTAAATAATGGACCAACAACAAATCAAAGAAGAAGAAGAATAAATAGTGCGTACCATCAGTTACAACAGAAATTGTCTCCACGGGTGTTGATTCTTTTTTTGATTCAACACAAGAAAAACCTACGATTCAAAGTTCAAAGATGTTTAATATTTAAAATGTTGTGAGATAATAAAATAACAAACGCTGAAGTGCAAACAGGCCAGAAAGTTTACCTTTCAACTGCAATGGTTTCACTACAAAGCCAAAAACAGCAAATGGTAACATTAACAGTGCCTCTCCCCAGAATGCATAGCGCCAGTTAAGATGTTCCCCAACCTAAGTAAAAACATTTTTTGATTAATTCTCAAACATCCAGCAGACGTATCTGTAAAGTAAGAACAAGACGGAAAATAAAGTGAGAAAGAACAAAAGGGATATACAAACTCACCAGTCCACCATAAACATATCCAACATCAATTCCAGTGGGTATGCACATATAAAATGTTGCAAGCCATGAAGTTCTATGGAGTATGATAGAGAATTAACATGATTGATAGTGTAGTGTACGCGAGAGGATAGGTTTTCAAAGTTAGGAACAAGACCTGAGAAATGGGAACATTGTCGTCAATAAATGGACCTGCAAGACTTATGAAATAAGCTTCTCCAACACCAACCAGCCTTAAACATCAAAATCCAGCCATAATTTTTTTAAGAACAAATAATATTCGAAGAAGCAAGACTAACATTTGAAGCCCTGACAGCCATACTCCTTTCTATCTAGTATGAATGAGGCGATATTATATAGATGCATACATTTTATAACAGATTCTTTTCTAGTGGGGTAAGCCACAATGTTCACTTTCCATATTCTTTCTATCAGAGCAATCCATGTAAATACTAATATGTAGCTCTTCCATTTATTATTCTTTTTTTATAATTAAATTTCCAACAAACATCGATGTTCTTTATACAATCAGTAACTACTTGTACAAAACATTTTAGTTAGTCCTTAACAATTCAAAACCCATTATTATTGCTAAATTGTGCAATTCCAACTTAATCGCAGGAGCATGGTTGTGTAGAGAGAAGTAAAATGTAAAATTGTGATGTGTTACACATATGCTAAGTTAAAAATACAGGAAATATTGCGATATGTATGAACTTTTAGTTGGTAGACAACAATATGAATAATTTATTCACATTTTACAGGTCCTACAAGTTGACATATGCAACAGATGTTTGCAAGTTCATCAGAAAACAAATTATCAACTATTTTCACTGTGTGCATCTCTAGATTTGACTTTTCCCCCCCTACAATCAAGGCCTCTGGGTATTTAGTCCAGTGACTTGCTCAACTAACACCAATTGTTTAAACATTCAACATTCATCTCACTTGCAAACCTTTATATATATAAAAGCGAACTGTTCAAAGCATCACCAAATCAGACCTCGTATTAACTAGCCAAGACAGAATATTTCACCTTAACGAAGAAAACCCACAAAATAAAATCCACTATATAGCTCAAATATATATATAAAAACAACCCCGAAGAAAAATTAAATAAATCCCAGAAAAAAGTGAAAGCTATTTTCAAAAATTTCTTTACCATTTCTCACCAAATCAGACCTCGCATTAACTTGGCAACTGGCATACAACTAGCTGTAAAACAAGCAATAAAAGTTAAGGCTCTACTAGTACTAAGTTTAGTAGTCATTATAAACACTTTCAGTTTATATACACTTAACATAAACCAAACCATCGATAAAGCCATACTTCATTTCTGATTAGAACATGCATATAGAACAAGGTGCATGCATAAATGTGTTTGAAGTAAGGAAAACAGAGGAATAAATTTGAACATTACTTGGCGTGAATAATGCTCAGCATCCCTCTTCATGGAAGCCATTTCAACCCTCAATTTCTGCATTTCAGCCTGCAGCCAGACAAAGAAAACAAAATAGCCTTACTATTATTCACAATATATGCTCATGGCACCAAGGAGAAAGTCTGAGTTGATTCACGTTGAAAAGAGAATAGAGCTGGACATAACAAAAAATCTTTTGGATGATAGTGGTAAGAGAGAAATTCAAATCTAAACAATGATGAGAATCATAATTCAAGATTCGAATTGTCTAAATGCGAAGACACAATTCTCTACAAGCTTCAGAACCTGACTTTTTAACACGGAAACCCCAATCCTACAACAAAATCTGACATTATAATTTTATAAACCACTTAAAGCTTATCTCAGTACTGATCTCTTTGTTACTAAACATACTATAAGCTATAGTCATTTCTAATTTATAGCAAAACTTAATAAGAATTAAGGATGAATTATAGATCAACTATAAGCATTTTTATTTCCAACGCAGGCTAAAATCACTACAAAATAAACAAATCAAGCAAACAATTTTAACCACTTCCATAACCAGAAATGGGCATATAAAAACCCTAAAATGTAGTAAAATTTACTAATCGGGCCTTTCAGGATTCAAATTGGTTTGACGAAGAACCATTTTGCCAAAAGAAAAAATGACAATCAAGCAAGAGCGAAACCAATCAACAAGAGCAGAAATAGCAAGAGCGAAACCAACAATCAATTTATCGCAATCAATTTCCAAAAGAAAAAGAGAGAGGAAAAAACCCTAATTCGAAAGACAAGAAAAATTTCGTATAACTAATTAGATAGAAAAAACAGTTTTAGAATTTACAGATGGGGAGCCTCGAGGAACTTGTCGTGTTCGGGTTCAGTCCAGTTCTCTCTGGACTTATATCTCATTTTGCTTTCGGTCTAAATGTATTGGGAGCAACTCAGACTGCAGTGGCATGTGAGGCAAAGCGTTGAGAGCAGTGGCAGTGGTGGTGAAGCAGGAAATTTGAATTAAGTGGTGGTGAAGTAGAGAGGGAAGAGAGAAGATGAAACATGTTTATTTTTCAGAAAGGGAGGGAGTGAGAATGAAAAAAATAGGTTAAAGGGAAACTTTAAACTTTAGCGGCATTTATGTTTACAAACGCCGCTAAAGTACGAGTCTATAGTAGCGTTTTTATACACAAACGCCACTAAAGTAAGAGTCTATAGCGGCGTTTATATAAAAACGCCACTAAAGTACATGTCTATAGCGGCGTTTGTATAAAAACACCGCTAAATTACGTGTCTATAGCGGCGTTTGTATAAAAACGCCACTAAATTACGTGTCTATAGCGGCATTTGTATAAAAACGCCACTAACTTACGTGTCTATAGCGACGTTTGTATAAAAACGCCGCTAAAGTACTACTCTTTTGCGGCGTTTGTATAAAAACGCCGCTAAAGTACTACTATGTCATGGCGTTTGTTTAAAAAATGCCACTATGGATGAACATATTGCGGCGTTTGTATAAAAAACGCCACTAAAGTACTACTCTGTTGCGGCGTTTTGTATAAAAACGCCGCTAAAGTTACCAAATTGTGGCATTTGGAGTATAAACGCCGTTATATATTTAAAGTTAGTGGCGTTTACTCTCAAAACGCTGTTGTAGAACAATTTTGATGTAGTGTCTTGATTCATTTTTAGTTTATTTTCTCGTTTTGGCAGAAAAAAACACATGATAATGACCAATGATATTACGGGAAAGATACTGTTAGGTATGGCTCATAAATATATGTGGGTTGGGGGTGCGGGGGCGTAGGCCCCGCGGTACGGTACAGGGTTGATATTGTAATTATGTACCAGTGTTTTCTATTATAAATAGAGATGTAACCTAGACCTAAAATATCATTGAATAAAACTTCTAGCGCCGCCTAGGCACCGAGGACGTAAGCATATTACCGAACCTCGTAAAATTCTCGTGTTCTTTTGTTTTCTTTACCCGTTTTTGTCAACAATTGGTATCAGAGCTCAGGAGCAAAATTCGAAGTCACGAAATTCGATGGTCAGGGTAACTTCGGATTATGGCAAACGAGGGTGAAGGATCTATTGGCGCAGCAAAGGATCTTGAAGGCTTTGCGACCTACAAAGCCGGCGTCGATGGATGAGGAAGATTGGGAAGAATTGCAGCAGCGAGCGGCAGGAACCATACGATTATGCTTAGCGGACGAGGTCATGTATCACGTCATGCATCTATCGTCTCCAGACAAAATTTGGAGGAAGTTGGAAAGTCAGTTTATGTCCAAATCCTTAAAAACAAAACTGTATCTGAAGCAGCAGCTGTATGGGCTGAAGATGCAGGACGATCACGATTTGGCGCAACACGTGAATGTCTTCAATCAAATCGTTTCTGATCTGGCTCGGCTTGATGTGAAAATTGAGGATGAAGACAGAACGATGATTCTGTTGTGTTCGTTGCCTCCCTCTTACGAACACATGGTGACTACTCTTACATATGGGAAAGAGACTATCAACGTTAAGGAGATTACTGCAGCCTTGTTGGCTCACAACCAGCGGAAGCAGAATGCAGGGGAAAGCTCTCAAGCCGATAGCTTATATGTCAAGGGTAATCGAGATCGTGGACGGAAGCCAGAGAATGCAGGGTCCGGGAAGCGAAATTCCAGATCCAAATCCAGGGATAAGAAGACGATTCACTGTTACAAGTGCAAGGAGGCGGGACATATGAAGCGAGACTGTCCGAAGTTGAAAAAGCATACTGATGAGAAGCGTGATGGCTCATCTAAGTCTGTGAACGTGGTCGAGGATGATAATTCTGATTGTAGTGAGGGTGATATGCTTTCTATTTCAACGACACAATTGACGGATGCTTGGATTCTTGATTCTGGATGTTCTTATCACATCACGCCAAATAAGGAATGGTTTTTGACATACAGGCCGGTTAATTCTGGTTCGGTTTATTTGGGTGATGATCGATGTTGCAATATTGTTGGTATTGGTGATGTCAGAATTAAGATGCACGATGGCTCCGTTCGGACGTTGAGTGGTGTTCGAAATATCCCAGACTTGAAGAAGAATTTGATTTCCTTGGGCACTTTTGCACAAGAATGGTTTTATCCCTAAGGCTGACGAGGATAGGGAAACCATTCGGATTGTTAAAGGAGCATTGCCTGTGATGAAAGGCAAGATGACTACAGGGAATATCTACATATTGTTAGGGAGTACCGTTGCAGGTGGAGTTCACTCTGTTGAGTCCTGTGATGATACGACAAAATTGTGGCATATGCGCCTTGCTCATCTTAGTGAACGTGGTATGACAGAATTACACAAGAGAAACTTGTTGCATGGTGTCAAAAGCTGTAAGCTCGATTTTTACAAGTATTGTGTTCTTGGTAAACAGACTAAAGTCTGTTTTAAGACTGCGAAGCACACAACTCAAGGGATTCTTGATTATGTGCATTCTGATGTATGGGGGCCTTCCACGATATCGTCTTTGGGTGGATCTAGGTACTATGTTACTTTTATTGATGATTTTTCACAGAAAGTTTGGGTGTATTTTTTGAAACATAAATCTGAAGTTTTTGAGAAGTTCAAGCTGTGGAAAGCTGAGGTAGAAAACCAAACAGGATGAAAAATCAAGTGTTTG